GTGGCCCCACAAGGCCAGGAACTCTGCCCTGAGAACAAAGCTGTCCTCCTATGGAGGCCAGGCTAGTCCTTCTGAGTCCCATGGGCATAGGCACTTGTCGCTTTGTAAGTAATTATTTTGAGGGAAAGAAGTTCTGTCATAAAGTACCTCTTGGAAACAGTGTCAAATAGGATTTTGTTCCTAGTGCAAAACTTCTCATTACTGCTGGCACTTTTACTCAGTTTTCCCTTATATGAACATCCTATAGAAGAGTGGGTTTGTCAAAGCTAAGAAATTAACCTTGGTAGATTACTTTTAGTTAAAAGACATTGGTGGATTTTACCAGTTTCTGGGTGGTTGAATGTTGTTCAAGAACACTGTCCCATACCGCCAATCCAAGGTCGTAATCCATTTAGTCAAATGCAACTGTAAATTTTAGATCTTTTTCTTTTAAAATAATTATAGATTTACAGAGAACTGTCAAAGCAAAAAGCACACAGTGCCCCCCTGTACCTACCATACAGTTTTCTCAGCTATGGCATCCTGTGTAAATCTGCCATGTCAAAGCCTGAAGCTGGCACCTAGGTTATACAGCGTGTGCTTGGTGTCATGCTCATGCATTTCCCAGTCAGATCCAGTGCATTTCCCAGTTAGATCCAGTGCATTTCCCAGTCAGATCCAGTGCATTTCCCACTCAGGTACAGTCTTAAACCCCATTTTACCTCAGAACCAAGAAGCTTCATATTTTTCCCAAAACACCTCTCCACTCTCTCTGCCCCAGGAGCATATTAGCTCACACAGGTGGACTGGGAGATGACTCTGGTCCTCAAGCACACTTCCCAGAGAAACAATGGTCCTCTTGGAGCACCGCCCTCTCAAGAGTCTGAGGAGAGTGGGTCTGTGGCTTGGAGATACAATGATAAAAATCCAGACCCTTAAAAGTCGTTGTGCCGTAATCTGACTCTTCCTTCCCTTCAGTCTCAGCTCTGCTCCTCAGATCATGTTTGTTACAGGAACAGGAAACAGAGTAGCCACAGTGAACTGGCCAGCAGTGCACCCCAGCCCTGACTACCTGAAACCAGGCCATGCACACAGCACCCCAGTGCAGAAACTCGGGCCCACAGTGTCCCCACAGCCCAGTGGCCCACATGAGCATACCCTAGAACAGTGTTCTCAACTTCCTAATAATACTGTGACCCTTTAACACAGTGCGTCATGCTGTGGTGACCCCCCCACCATAAAATTATTTCATTGCTACTTCATAACTGTAATTTTGTTACTGTTATGAATAGTAACATAAGGATCTGATATGCAGGATATCTAATAGGTGATCCCCAAAGGGGTCTCAACCCACAGGTTGAGAACCACTGTTCTAGAACATCTAGGGGTTGGAGGATGGGAGTTAGAGGTGCTTCCTTTTTCCCACAGCTTCCTTGGCATGGCGCTTTGACCCTGAGTTTTATAAATTCAGAAAACAATATATCCTATGGGCAGGCACCATCTTTTACACTCATATATTTACTGTTCCTCAGGTGCCACCCCCAAGACGATGAATGTCAATGTGAGTGCAACTGGAAAGCCTTTTCCAAGGCTCACAGATTTACATTTTGGTGAGACCATTCCAACGCAATGCCGGTGGCTCTCCGCCCCCAAATCAACGACATCACAATCCCTGCCACGCTAGAACTTCACGCACCGCACCAGCAAGAACTGTTCTTTGAGCTTCACAAGTAGATGGAGTGGATTACGAGATGACATGCATTAGCTCCACCCTAGTGAGCTTGAAGCATGAATTCCCAGCATGCAAAGAGTATGGGAGTGAGTCTGCATCCAGGATTAAGTCACAGAGCTCTTGACCAGGATTAAGAGTTCATGCCAGGCAGTGGTGGCGCACGCCTTTAACCCCAGCACTTAGGAGGCAGAGGCAGGTGGATTTCTGAGTTTGAGGCCAACCTGGTCTACAGAGTGAGTTCCAGGACAGCCAGAGATATACAGAGAAACCCTGTCTCGAAAAACCAAAACAAAAGCAAAAACAACAACAAAAAAAAGGATTAAGAGTTCAGGCAATGGTCACAAAATGAGATTTTTACCACTGTGAGTCAACTCAGAAATCAGCATGATCCTCCCAACACCCAGAGGGAAAAATGACAGTGGGGTGGGGAATTTTGGTGAATAATCTACAGGAGTATCCTCTCTTTTAAAAAGAAAAAAAAAGAAAAAGAAAAAGATACCGAACTGCACTGTACTGACAGAGAGCATGGTGTGTGTCTATCTTGGCCACTCAAGCTGGATGATTGAAACCTGGTGAGAGGAAAGGGAAAGAGAGATGTAGAACATTCTTGTTTGAAGTTTGACCTTATAGGCTTTCAAAGCCAGTTTTTCTAGAAGCCTAACTGATTGGCGCAGTCTCAAACCTGTCGATAATTTATACTCCTGGGCTAAATTCGTAGCATTGCCAAGAAGCTGTGTGTGGCAATCTTACAAAAAAAAAAATGGACTGGGTGTTCTTCCTGTGTGGAATCCCTAGGTGGACTCAGGGAAAGTCCTCCGCCACTAGGAGGGGGAGGGTAAATGTTTCACTGAGGGTAAATGAACACCAAGGCAGGAAGCACTAGATGGTGATCCCTTCCATTGAAAGACCCAAGTCACTCCATTCCTGTGTGGCTGTTCTTGAAAGATTTTGCAGTAGTCATTCTGTCCCGTGGGTATTCCCTGAAGGAAGCCCAGCAGTACTGCCATTTCAAAACCAAGGTTCTGAATCCCCAAAGCAGCCCTCCCCTCCACCCCTTTAAACTGAGAGACCTGTAGGAAAGCGCTGGCTGGACAGGCTGCCTACCCAGATCCTGCCCTGCTCTTTGTTTGGGTTGTTCACATCCAGTCTCTTCTTCAAGTACTTTATACCTAGTATCCTGAGGCAGGCTCTCCTGCAGTACCCGGAAGTCCATCTCCACCTACATTCTGGGACTCCGAATGTGGGGCCTTATGCTTGTACTGAACAAGATTATACAGAATGGCCCCTTAATTTGTTCTAATCATTTTTTTAAAAGATATATTTCATTTTATGTGCATGAGTGCTTTGCTCACGTGTGTGTGTGTGTGTGTGTGTGTGTGTGTGTGTGTATCCATTGCCTGCATGCCTAGGACACAAAACGACCAGAAGGCATCAGAACCCTAGAACTGGAATTATAGAGGGTTGTGAGCCATCATGTGGGTGCTGGGAATTGAACTCCAATCCACTGCAAGAACAAGTACTCTTAATCACTGAGCCACCTCTCCAACCCTTTGTTATTTGTTTATTTGGCATATCTTCTCTGCAGTGGGTCCCCTCAATCATCTCACACCAGCCATGGATTTAAATAGCAATGATATATTTTTCTATTGTGTGAAACATCTCAGAAAACAAATTCCCTCAACACACACAAGAACTCTAGCTACTGGGCTGATCAAGAAGCTCTCATGCAATTACCAGACACCGGGATCTGTGCCATGACTAAGGTCTACCCAGGTCACACATGAGACACAGAGCTATGTCTTACTCAGATGATTGGGGAGTCATTGTTTTAGGTTCAGGCTTAAAAGATAATCTGTCACCTAGAAAATGAAGAGAAAGAGAGAACATTCTAGACCAAGGACAGAGACCATAGATGAACAAAGAGAAAAGAAGGTTGGCATGTTCACAGACAGGAACTCGGTGTCAAGAGAAAAGGAGATATGGGAAGGTGGGAGGTGAACAGAGACCAGGTCACCAGAGGAGGCTTAAAGCAGAGTAGTGTAAGTGTCATCCTTGTGGCTTTGCGGAATGGGAGCTCCCGCCATCACTGTCAGGTTCTCTATTCATGCACGACCCCCCACCAGCAGTGTAGAAAGTGTGTTACAAAGAAGTAACACTGGGGACAAGGACAGCACAAGGAGGTCCCAGCGCCAGTGCGGGGACAAAAGATAAGCATCAGGTAAACAGGCAGGGGAAGATGGGATGAGTGGGTGACGCGTCCCTGGATATTTTGTATTGAGGTTAGGGGTGGAATTAGCTCCTCTCTGGCTTGCTTGACCTGAATGCATGCTTTCCAGGCAAGAGGTTCAGTAGGAGAGGGAACCAGGAGGTCCTGTCAGCTTTGAAATAGCAGCTTCATCTCAGATGGGCCCCATTCCCTAGCAGTCTATGCCTAGGGACTACTATACCTCTTCTTGATGCATCTGGTCACAGTGCTAATTGTGATACCTCGTTCCCAACGAGCCTGGAAACATACTACCATGTGAGGAAACATACTACCATATGACCTCCCCCCCTCAGGTCCTGACTCTGCCCCTTCTAGCCCTGCCTCTGCAGGTAGGAGAGACTTGAAAAAAACCCTGAGCCCTGAGACCCCCAGGTACTGGAGATGCCCCTCAAAGGGCTCAGTACTTAATCCCCTGCTGTGGTGTGTCACACTCTTCTTTCAAGCTAGCAATCTGAACCATCCCAAGCCAGCCGCTTTGGGACAACTGTAGAAAAGTTGATCAGAGCCTCCCTCGAAGCTGGAAGGGACATGTGCTGTTCATCAGCTCCACGTGTTTCCTAGAGAGCCGCATTTGGCCCTCTTCCCCTACTGCCCACCACCACCAGCACCACCCATGTGTAGACAAGTGTTTCGGGATCAGCAGGAGATTGTAAAAGAAATAAAAGACAGCCTCCACCCCAGAAAAAAATGTACCATCTAGTTGGGAAAAGCAGAACATTTGCAGATGTACCAAACAGCTTAAAAACACATTGACAGAGAAACCACCTCCTGAGCGGAAAGGCCCCCTTCTCATGGAGCACACAGCACAAGGCCACCCTCTCCAATTCAAGCACTAATTTGTTGTTTACAGTCCACCTCATTCTAGAAAGGGTTTTCAGAAACTGATAAGAATTACTCGTGGAAATAAAAACTAGAAGGAAGTGACAAGAAGATGTGTCGGGAACATTCGGCGATGCTTGCATCTTTATGTTTCGACACACTTGATGCTTTATGGTCTTATCACAATCAATATAACAGGTCAAAATGCAATTCTTTGTGAAGACCCTGACCGACAAGACCATTAGCCTGGAGGTAGAGCCCAGTGACATCATCGAGAACGTGAAGGCCAAGATCCAGGAGAAAGAGGGCATCCCCCCTGACCAGCAGAGGTTCATATTTGCCGGCAAGCAGCTGGAAGATGGCCACACTCTCTCTGATTACAGCATCCAGAAAGAGTCAACCCTGCACCTGGTCTCCTGTCTGAAGGGTGGCTATTAATTCTTCAGTCTGCATTCCCAGTGGGCAGTGATGGCATTACTCTGCACTCTAGCAATTTGTTTCAATTTAAATTTAGAAATTACACATTTCAATAATAACTGAATCTCTGTTAAAAATGTTAATAAAGAGCTGGGCGGTGGTGGTGCACACCTTTAATCTCAGCACTTGGGAGGCAGAGACAGGTGGATTTCTGAGTTCGAGGACAGCCTGGGCTACACAGAGAAACCCTGTCTCAAAAAAAACAAAAATAAAAAAAATGTTAATAAAGGTTTTGTTGCATGGTAAGGAAGAAGAAAAGGAAGAGGAAGAAGAAGAAAAGAAAGAGGAGGAGAAGGAGGAGGAGGAGGATGAAGAGGAGGAGAAGGAGGAAGAAGAGGAGGAGAAGGAGGAGGAGGAGGAGGAAGAGGAGGAGAAGGAGGAGGAGGAAGAGGAGGAGAAGGAAGAGGAGGAGGAGAAGGAGGAGGAGGAGAAGGAGAAGGAGGAGGAGAAGGAGAAGGAGAAGGAGAAGGAGAAGGAGAAGGAGAAGGAG